ATATATATATAAAATAATTATCCCAGGCAGCTTTTGACCTCTTAAACTCAGTTTGGATCAGCAAAGCAGCACTAACCCAAGCATGCCTTAAATTGATAACATGATATGTGGAAAGAATTGGCTTCTTCCTGTTTCTTTTTTTCCTCTCCACTTCCCATTCTATTCTGCAAATCAAATGTTGCATGGCTAGGATTTAATTATTAGAAGCAATTGATTGTAATGTTTTAAAAACTATACCAAAAAACAAGCTAAAAAATTAGTACATCACATTTTTCATAATTTAATCGGTTAAACCGACGGTTAGACATGTAACATAATAATTAAATAAAAAATAATTGTACACAATGTGTACAAATATATAAAAAATTAAAAATATTGATAATTTCATTTCCTAGACAATAATTATTTAGCCATAACACAATAAGTTTTAATTTACTCACTTTTTTTCATATGTATATTTCTTATTTAATTTATTTATCCTTTTAAAGTAAATGATTTTTTTATTTTATTTATAGTTTGATACATATAACGTAATTGAAAAAAAAATTACGTGCTCAAAAATTTACTATACCAAATTTAAAAGAAGTTGACACTGATTTTTAAAATAAGATGGACATTTTTATCACTACACTGAGAGTACAAAGAAAGAAATGGTTTGAAATGATCCAACCATTATGAGTCACTTCAGATTCTGCCTAACCCAACTAATTAAAACGTCTAAAACAAGCAACCTCTGAAATAATTTCAACTACGAATCAGATATGTGACTTAATTATGAGTGAGTCTTGAAAAAATTTAAAACTTTAATTTAGACCAAAAGGATTAAAGTAAAAATAATTTTAACAATAAAAATATGAAAATAACTTTTATTTGTTAATTTTGTCTGAAATGCATAATCATTATTTATTAATTTTTTTATTTAACTTATTAATTTATTATTATGAGTTATAAATTACATGATTTGACCTGTCATAAACTATAATATCAGTTGTTAATTTGTTAACTTTACTTATTAATTTATAAATATTAATTGTGAGTTACAAGATCTATTAGTAATTCACAATTAATATTAATAAATTAATAAATAAAATTAATAAATTAACATCCAATGTTACTGCTTATCTTACAAACCGACATAATCTATAACTCATATTAGTAAATTAAATAATAAAATAAAAAAATTAATAATTAATTATTTTATATGTAGCAAAAGATTAATAAATAAAAAATACTTTAATTTTTTTTTTTTGATGATTGAAATCATTTCCATTTCCTTCCTCATAAATTGAAGTGAAATTTTAATTTTTTTTTGAGACCTATTAATCATTAAATGATATCTTTGGTACTTAGTTGAAATTCTCTCCAAACTGAACCACGTTTACAGATCACTGTCCAATCAATAGGATGAATGAGGCGGGAGGGCAAGCAATGGGAGGTTGGAGGTTGGAGGTTGTGAAGTCCACGTGTGCGGTCTGTGAAGCCCATGAATCACTGTCCACTACTCGATCCCTCTGCATGCCACGTGGCTCTTTTTACCAACACCAGTCGCCAGCTCTTTCCTTATCAATGTCAATACCACGTTACATGCCACCCCACTCCTCATACACTGTCTAAAAGTCCAAGATTCTCACCATTCACGGGTAGCCAAATCTAACTTGACAAGGATATACACTCAGTTGATTAAGGGAACTAGTGCCCGTAATCATTAATATAATAAGTTTAACCTTAAATATTCATACATAGCGACACATTAAATCTAACAAAAATAACCAATCCTTTATAAACGTGGTGTAGAAAGTTGAATTTTTATTGCAACACGCATCATTGCAATTAATGAAACGATAGATGCACACAATTAAAATAAAAAAAATAGCATGGTCATATAACGTGGCAAGTCTGCAAGTCTTCTCAAATGTTATCTCAGTTAAAACTATTCCCGAATGTAATCTTATAATCTTATACCATACAATATACATCAACTACGTTAAAAAACCATATGATGTTTGCTATGACTGTTAGGATGTTATTAAGAGCTTTCTTAAAATCCGAGATCTTTACCCGATAAAGATTTCTTTTTCTGGGTTATATATATATATATAGAACGGGCTCTCAATCATAGCTTGTTCTTTTATGAAAATCTTTTAAAATGTATGGATTCATCTTGATTAATATTTTGAGATTGATATGAAACATTATAATATATATTTTTAATTCTAAATTAGAAATTTGATCTTTAACTTATAAAATAGAAAATTCATAAAATTATTGTCACTTAACTAATTTTTATAATTTTTTATGTGTATAATATTTTTTGTCATTTAAAATGAAAAGGATCAAGAATTAATAAAATAAAGTTGAGAGATGTTTGATTTAATTGGTTGAGAGAGTTGAATTAATTTATTTTAAGATCTCAAGTTCGTGTTTACATTAACAAAAACAAATAACTCCCAAATGTTTTAAAATATCGAGCGATGAAATGGAAAAAATAATTAACAAAATAAATCTCTTAAATTTAATTTTCACACGAAAAATATTTGGAACTAAATTTGAGTGATGTGGCATCAAAATTGCGCCTTGACAAAAACAACACTTGGATTACTTCTACAGTCTACCAAAGCCGCTTTCTTATAAACACAGCAAATACAGTTCTTATCAAAACAAGTGGAATACGGCTCCATCCATTGGTTATTATTTATTTTATTTTTAAATTCAGACATCCATGGATGGCCTACTTTGCACGAGATTCTCTTGCCCGCATTTATCAAAATTAATTAAAATTAAAACGACCAACTAAAATTAGAGAAAAAGGTACACGGTACATCGTGGAATCCTAAAACTGGAAAACATGCGATTGACTTCTCCTGTCCTCGTAAAACGTCACTGTTCAATTAAACTGGGCGAAATTAGGACTGTTTACAGGATTTTGTTGGGACAATGACAATTGGGTTTTAAAAGTTTTTGATAATTTTTTTTCAAAATAAAAATATTAATATAGATAATTGTAAATTCAAAAATTTCAATTGTAAGTATGCATTTAAATATCAAGCATGATTCTTATACTATAATATGCATTTTTATTTATAACTGTTAGAATAAATATTTAAATTTTTTAAAATTTTTTTATTAATAATATAAATATTATTAATTCAATATTTTAGGATTTAATTTTTATTTTTTTAATGCTAGGTTATGGAAAAACAAACCATGTCCTGATGTAACAAGTCATAAGGTTTTGGCACCCAAGCAGATCATTAAAGATTATTATATATAAATTTTTTTAAAAGGCTTGATAAGTAAACATGTCAGTACATCTTTTTTTTTTCAAAAAAAATGATTAAAAATAATTCTCTAATCTTTTATTACAATATCCTTGACACTCTTTATAGTTTTAAAAAGTAGACGGTGTTTGAATTTAGAGTTAAAAATATAGACAAACCCGACCTTTAAGGGCATGAGTTTTAAAGTTTAATTTTTTATTCTCAACTCCATTTCTAAAGCCTAGCCTTATGTGAAGGATTTAGGGTCGGGCCCGCAAGCCCTTTAAAAAAAATAAAATAAAATAAAATATTATAAATTAATTAAAAATTAAAAAAATCAAAATTTTTATAATTTTTTAGAAATTAAACAATGCACATATAGAAGTCTAGTAATAAAATTTAAATCTTGATAAAAAATAATTCATTTTTTATAAATACACAAATATAGTAATTATAGAAAAATGAAAAATATCAAATTTTTTATACTATACATTGATATTTATTAAATTATATTAAATTAATTTTAGAATAAATTAAAATTAATAATAATATAATGCATGTAAGTCAGGTGAGCATATCATTGGATTTAAACTTGTGTTCCATCAAAAAATAATAATAATAATATAACAGGGTTTGAAGGGTTACCCGAACTGAGTCTTCTTTTATAGGGTTTATCAGGATTAAGCCCTCAAATCCGATTACTTTTAAAAAAATTTATTTTTAAAATTTAAATTTTTATTTAAATAGAATCTCTGAGTTCAACCTTTATTTTCGGCTTGATGAGGTTTGAGCGACAGTGCTCCTATTTATAAAATTAGAATAAATGTTGATTTTGTTAAATTTAGCATTCAAACAGACTGAAAGGAAAGATCTTCCAATATACTTGATGGTTCTGCAGCAATGAAGAATGATGAAGGCAAAAGAAAAATAAAAAAAGAAGAAGAAAGATGTTGACTGTTTACAGGATTTAATGATTTATGCTCAGAGCATCTCACGAGTTTCAGGACTAAAAAAAATTAAAAAGAAAAAAAAAAGCATGTCGCCAGATCTTCAGACTTTACCCCTAAAGTTTAATAAAAATAATAAAAAAATTGGTACCATTAATTTTTTCATTAAGATGTGTGGCATTGAGTTTAAGGCGTCACATGTTTTCGTTGATCAAGTATTAATTGGTAAAAAAGTATATCAAATCGGGCTAGTGATAAATGAATAATATTATTGCCATGAATTTTTGACATCACACGTTAGTGAAAAAAAAAAAAAATTATTAGCCTACATTGATGGTTAGTGTCAAAGCATAATGTACATGTTATGATTAAAAGAATAGAAAGAAATCCCCACATTTAGTGATCTTAGTAAGTTCCTGAGAATTTAGTTAGGAGGTCCCAAATGCGAGATTCATCCCACACTAATTATTTACAACAATGTTATCACATGTTACAATGTTGATCCCAAATATGAGGCGACATGTTTCTGAAACAAAGAGATGACATTTTATCTGCATTATTGAATTTTAAGATGCCATTTATTCATCCATAAATATTTTAAAAGAAAAAAATGCATTTTTTATTTTAACTTAAAAAAAATTGATATGAAGTTAACAATCAACGCTAATGATCTTTAGTTAAACGATAATATTATATGGATTTTAATACTGGACGAAACGAAACTACATCACTCTAATAAAATACGAGTAGAGTACAAAAATCGTAAGAGGGGTGCGCAAGTAATTTGATGTAAAAATATCATCGAAGCAGAAAAGTAGCTGACTGTAGTAGTTAAGCAGAAGAAGCAGCCATACACAACCCTCTCTGGCTCTTCCTTTCTCAGCTTAGCTTACACTATCACGTGGCTTTCCATACTTCTTCACCCACCTTCACGCATGACGCACCTCCGTCTCCTCATTTAATGCCCAATCCTATCCCTTCCTCATTTCTATCCCACCCCACCTCTCTAGATACCTCCACCACCCCTCTACACCGGCGATGGCCGGGACCAACGCCACCGCCTTATCTCACCTTCCCGATGAGATCCTCGCCAACGTATTTGCTGCCGTCTCCGACACTCGCACCCGCAACGCCCTCTCCCTCGTCTGCCAGAGCTTCCGCCGTCTCGAGAGGAAGACCCGCACCTCCCTCACGCTCCGAGGCAACGCGCGTGACCTCCACCTCATCCCTGACTGTTTCAGCTACGTCACCGACCTCGACCTCTCTCTCCTCTCTCCTTGGGGCCACTGCCTCCTCGCCCACCGCCTGCGCGACGCTTTCCCTCGCGTTACTTCGCTCACCGTCTACGTCCGCTCTTCCGCCACGCTCCAGCTTCTGCTTCTCGATCCGTGGCCAGAATTGCGCCACGTCAAGCTCGTCCGTTGGCATCAAAGGCCAGCGTCGACGCCCGGGTCCGATTTCGCCGTATTGTTCGAGAAATGCAAATCACTGTGGTCTTTGGACCTGTCCAGCTTCTACCACTGGACCGAGGATCTCCCTCCTGTTCTGACGGCTAATCCGGTTACGGCTGCCTCGCTAAAGGGGCTGAACCTGCTGACGACGTCGTTTACTGATGGATACAGGTCTTATGAAATCCAGTCCGTCACTGCGGTTTGCCCTAACCTTGAGCACCTTCTGGTGGCTTGTGCCTTCGATCCAAGGTATCTTGGGTATGTTGGAGATGAGACTCTGTTAGCAATAGCTTCCAATTGCTCTAAGCTATCGCTTCTTCATCTTGCTGATACATCTTCATTGGCTAACCGGAGGGGTGATCCTCTCGACGAGGGGTATACTGCAGAGGATGCTAGGATTAGCCGTACAACACTAATTGAGTTGTTTTCTGGGCTCCCTTTGCTTGAAGAGCTGGTGCTAGATATTTGTAAGAATGTGAGAGACAGCAGCTTTGCCTTGGAAGTGCTGAATTCCAAATGCCCCAGGTTGAAGGTACTCAAGTTAGGCCAATTTCACGGGATTTGCTTAGCCATTGGGTCACAGCTCGATGGGATTGCCCTCTGCCAAGGACTTGAATCTTTGTCGATTAAGAATTGCGCAGACTTGACGGACATGGGTTTGATAGAGATTGCCAGGGGTTGCTCAAGATTGGTCAAGTTTGAAGTACAGGGATGCAAGCATATAACGGAAAAAGGGCTGAGGACGATGGCTTGCCTACTTCGCAAGACTCTGATCGATGTTAAGATTTCTTGCTGCTTGAATCTTGATACTGCTGCGTCTCTGAGAGCTTTGGAGCCAATTCGTGATCGGATCGAGCGGCTTCATGTGGATTGTGTGTGGAATGACTTGAAAGAAACTGATAGTCTGGGAAAAACCAACCTTAATTTCGGCCTTAACGGCTTTGATGAACCGTGTTCTTCAACCACTAAGGCTGCTGAAGAATTTGTGGATTATTTTGGGAGTAGTGCAGATATAGAAACAAGCAAGAGGAAGAGGCAGAGATGCAATTACTTAATGGAGGCCAATTGGAGCAACGGTAATGGTTATTGGTGCAACAGCTGGGACAGGTTGAAATACCTTTCCCTTTGGATAGGAGTTGGGGAGCTACTGACTCCATTGCCAGCGGCAGGGCTGGAAGATTGCCCCAACTTGGAAGAGATTCGCATTAGGGTTGAAGGAGATTGCCGAGACCGGCCAAAACTGTCTGAGCATGAATTCGGGCTGAGCATTCTCACATGCTATCCTCAGCTCATAAAGATGCAGTTAGATTGTGGGGAGACAAGGGGTTATGCTCTCACGGCACCTTCTGGGCAGGTGGATTTGAGCCTGTGGGAGAGGTTCTTCCTCAATGGTATTGGCACCTTGACTCTTCAGGAACTTGATTACTGGCCGCCACAAGATGAAGATGTGAACCAAAGGAGCCTATCTCTTCCAGCTGCTGGCTTGCTCCGAGAATGTGACACTCTAAGGAAACTCTTCATTCATGGAACAACCCATGAACATTTCATGAATTTCTTCCTCAAGATACGCAACCTGAGGGATGTGCAGCTGAGGGAGGATTATTATCCAGCACCAGAGAATGACATGAGTACAGAGATGAGAGTGGCTTCATGCAGCCGCTTTGAAGATGCTTTAAATAGTCGTCCATTCTATGATTGACCCACGAAACGCTTGGAAGCAGAGAGAGGGAAGAAGAGATTCTGGCCAAGGTTGTTTGTGTAATGTGCAGTTCATCATAAATATCTTTTTCCTTACAATTTTATCAGTAGCAATGCAAGGTTCTGGCCCAATTGAGTCATGAATATATCCAATCCATACAAATACTAGAAGTAGGTACGTTCTTTATGCACAGGAAATGATGCAGGGAAAAGATACAAAATTCAACTTTGCTTTGAAATACTTTCATTGCTCAAAAAGGAGATATGTTTGCACGGGAGAGTGATGAAAATTGTAACGATAACGTTTTCACAAGTTTGTGAAAAAGAACAAAAATCACGACTACAACGTAAGCCGGGAGGAACATGTTGCAACAACTCTTACCCAAAAAAGTTAACTATGTACAAGAGGTTCCCTCAGATTGCCTCAGCACATAGAGTACTCGCAATCAAGCAAGCGAGAAAGGATCTCCTCACAACTTGGCCGTTCATTTGGTTCTGCCCAACAATCTGCACAAGTACCACCCTCGATCAAAGGACAAGAAAGGGTAAAACATTTGGATAAATTTAGCTTTCCGCATATTATTTTTATCATTTGCCAATCATCATCCATAAGATAACACAAATAAATGACACTACTCTTTACAACAATTACTTGATGTGACCTGGAATATCAGAACAAAGTTTAAAATTCACATCATACTATACACAAGTCAAATCACATTTGCTACACATAATGCATGAAAAATCACATAATTCACTGTTATGAAACGTACCAATTATTATTTCTTTTTAATATATGGTATATATATAGTTTTTCTAATAAAAAAAATTGAAAGTCATCATAGTACAAAAGCTGGACTGGCTTGGCCGGTTTGAGTAAAAACTAGGACCGATTTTGCATAGTAATTTTTTGGGGGGTAAACTACATAGTAAATTTTTTAAAATTTAAATGACAGGGAGCATCTTACGATGACCTAAAAGAGACGGGAGTTGACTGTGGTTCTTTTAAGAAGAGATATTGCAACTGCTGATAGTAAGTGAATATTTTCTATACAAAAACATTTTATGATTGGATTTTGAAAGAATTCACTTTCACAAGTTATGTTTACACACAGACCTGCGATAAGCTTGCCTAACGGGCCTTCAGGAATCTCCAGCCTAGATCCCTCGTTGGCAACAGCATAAACCACCTAATTGACACAGAGATTGTAGGATCCAAAGAGTCAATTTTTTTAAAAAAATCAGAATGAAGCAAAAGACAATAATAGAGAGGCCAACATGAAAATGAGATCAATAAAACATACCCTCTCTGGTGGTATGCCCTCCCATGGCCTGTTCAAAGTACAAAGCTCCCACATCAACACCCCTAGGCTAAATATATCGCATTTTTCATTGAATGGTTCATTCCGAATAAGTTCAGGGGCCATCCATTCTGGAGTTCCAGCCGATGAAGTGTCTTTGATGGCAGACTCTGTCATGATCCTTGAAAGACCAAAATCACAGATCTTCACAGTCCAATGCTTATTCACAAGACAATTTGCACTTTTCAGGTCACGGTGAACTATCTTCATTCGGTGTATGCACATCAGCCCCCTACAACACCACCATGGGTGCTCTTTTTATAGTCTTCCAACAAATATGCATGCAAACTGATTTTAAGAGAACAAATAATAGTCTATCTGGCACTGAAATGCATTGAAATATAACCATTTTCATCAACAAAAAACATGGTATGACTGAAATACATTGAAATTGACCATTTCGAGCATGTTTGGTACGTGAAACCAAACAGGTAATTTGTACAGTGTACAGTGTGATGGAGTTGTCCAATAATTAAGTGAAGAAGCTCAGAATTTCTTATGAGTTGTCAAGTCCATTTATCTTCTATTGATGGGGGAAATGCTTGAAAACCGAACCTATTTGCATGTTATATAGATAATCTGTAATCCTTCTCAGCATTTAAAAATCGGTACAAGAAATGAGTTCATCACCATTGCCTCCATCATCCCAACAGAAATGGTTGTGGAATATAGAATTTAAAAACTGTTAAGCATGTAAAGTTGTGGCGAGGATATTATTTTGGAAGGAAATAAGAGAAATAATCCACACCTGCATATATCTCGCAACATCTTCAGTCTTCTCCGCCAGCTAAGCTTCTTCTTCTGGCCGCTCAAGTGGATCAAGTAATACAGTGATCCCATTTCCATGTACTCAGTAACCATTGACAAGCGTGGAGGCCTTGTGCACGCCCCAAGAAATAAAATTACTGCATAAAATATCATTTCCTGATCAAGAGCAGCTTAAATCAAATGAGACGTGCAACAAACGCCTGGAAATAAGAACTCAGTTGCTTTTGCATTAGTGATCATAATATCTAGAAGGCAAGATGAAAGTTTATAGAATGAAAGACCAAAATTAATAGCTTGTGAGGATGAAAGTGAATACCATTTGGATGTCGGAGCCGGCTGGAAAAAAACACAAGAGCATGGAGGTCAGGAACTGTTGGATATAACAGAAAAAAGCTGACAAAAAGTATAACAAATAGATACCTGAGAATTGATATCTCATTGCAGAAATCTTCCATGTTTTCAGCAGTTAAATCTTGCTCCAGAAAAACCTTGATTGCAACATCTGTGCCATTCCAAACGCCACGGAATACTTCTCCAAAAAAGCCTGAAAAAGATTGCAGCAATGATCAGCAAAGCCCTTAAAATCAGTTTCGCATGAAGTTATTCTTTCCTTCTCAATTTCAGTTTCTAATTTAGGGGATTCTTTGCTTTTCTGAGTTACGTCAACAACTCCACCCCAAATTAAAAAAAAATCCGCATGCTTCAAAATCATGACAACATTTTGACCATTTATTATAATCAGCATTCAACAGATAAGAGTTCAAGTGATGTAAGCTAGTCCATTTCACTTCAAGTCTAAAGCTTCCAGCCAGTGTTGCCTTGCATTCTCATTTTTTTTAATTTCTCCTTCCTTTCTTCCAGGTTATATTAAAAAAAAAAAAATTGATTACGAAAAGAGAAAGGGAAAAATAACAGATTCTTAAAAAAAAAAAAAAATCATCCAGGGTGAGTGATCAAAATTCAAATGAATAAAACTAATAATTCCAGGTACAAGAACCAGAAGAATACAAGGGCTGAACCCTTTTCATTTGCAGAAAGCTTGAATAGATTTCAGTAGAAGAAAAAAATCACAACAAAACCTGAGGTTTAGTGTCATTTGAGTTACTGAATGGGGAAAAAGAAAAGAAAAGAAAGACTTCAACCTTTCGACAATAAATCTCGTGAATAAATGAACTACGCAAGGAAAACAAGCAACTTGATATATGCCCGATAGCTTAATGCCATGGACCTTGCTTTGCTGTGTTTGTTTTCTTTCACGACTTGTTTCTTGCCTTTCTCATTCCAAAAACGGTTTTTTTTTTTTTTTGGTTTTTTTTGGGGGAGGGGGGAGGCGGAGCAACAACTGATCTGTCGCAAGCCAACCCAAATCAGAAATGCAGAAATCCAGCCCCATTCACAATCACAACTATTGACCTAAACCCAATTTACACACCAACGATATAAATCATAATGAATTGCACAGTGCAAATCATAGATCATGCAATGCCGATAATTGTTTCAAGTAATGCAATACTTACCGATCCCAACACGTGTTCCAACAGTTATTTCTGATAAGTCAATATTCCATTCTTCATATGGTAAGAGGGGTTTATTATTAAACATTGAAGATTCAAGGACTTTATTCCATGTTGACTGCAGTTCGTTCACGCCATATCTTGATAGTCCACTTCTCTCAGATGTCTGACCCCCATAACCATGCGGTGAAGAGGGTAATGACATTGCTTTTTGGGAATTTACTTCATCAGGTGGAAGAGAATTCAAAGTAGCTCTCTCATGACCATCTCGTTGGAAATTTGACATCTGTTAAATTGCATGGAATCAGATAAACTTGGAAGATATTTGTGCTAAAACTAAATAATAAAGCTTGGTACCATAATCATTAAAAATAATTTTTTAATAATAAAGACACTGTAATCATTAAAAAAATCTTCAATGATCAAACACAATAAATGCAGATAGCAATTATCAGATTCTCATCCTGGTTTATCATTCATTCAACACCAAAATTGACCGTGTTTGGGTACAGTACCATCAATTACATTTACCCTTTTTTTTTCCCATATACAGGGATTTAACCTCAGAATACGGTCAAAACAATATATTACCAGCAACAGAACTAGTAAAAATATGACGGAACCAAAGGTACAGAAAGAAGTAAAACATGTGGAAACACAAGATTATCATTTGCCAACCATGAGAGCTCCTCTAAAGTAGTTTGCAAGACAACAAATTAATTTATTTAAAAGAAGAAAAAGGGGGGGGGGGGGCTAGATCAGTGGACAATAGCATCATTTAACAAATGAAGGCCATGGTCATCTATGATTTTGGAGAAATAATTTAGTAAAATGGGATTGCATAAGATACAATTTTCGTCATACGCTGAAAGATAGACAGAAAGGTTAGATAGAACAGTTCACAAAATAATGCAGACATACATTTTTCTGAAGGTCTCCGATGCTATTTGCATCGTTTGCAGAATCAGAGAATGAGCTATTATCTCCTCGTTCTCTCAGAAGACGATTTTGCTTCAGCGTTTCATTCATCGCACGTACAGCCCTGGATGTATTATAGCCACTTTATATCAGAAAACAGATGATAATACATAAGTTAGTCAAATAAAGATCACCTAAAGATTAAGCACTTGATGAAAGTATAGGTAGCAATATGCATACTTCCTTTTAGTTATTTAGGAACAAGTTGAAATAGTCAATCACCATCTCACAACACTCCATTAAATTAATTCACTAACAATTAGAGTCAGAATACAATTTCATGGCAGCAGGCCAAATAGGGGAAATAATTTCTCAACTACATGGCACCTATAATTTGTGGTAAACAGAACCAGGTAAAAGCAGTCAAGGGATGATCAATGTCATTGTCCCATATACTAAACAAAATACAGTTTGCCAATCTTCAAGGAAATAATGAATACAGATAATGGCAACCTAAACCATTAACTTCAACAGATTCTGTGGCAAACCCCCAAGACAAAGGTCATCTTAGAAAAATATAAAT